GCTCTCCCAGCCCGGGAGATCGAGCCTCCACAAGTGCCTTCGCCCTCCCACCTTGACTGCTACGCTGCCGGAGGGACCCCAGTCGGATCTAGGAACAACCCATGAAACAAGTCGACAGTGGTGGTCGAGTTCTGAATCTGCGTTGGGTTCTAATCGAGGCTGCCAAGCCCTGGCGCCCAGTCTGTTTGCAATGGCAAGTCGAGGGTCGGATGCCGCAGTCGAAGCGCAGGTCAGACTAGCGCGGTCTTGGCAAGATGCGCGGGATGGAGATGTAGATAGATTGGCGATCGACACGGAGGGACGGGGGTGATCCTGGTAAGCGTTCGAATGCCGGCCGGCGTTACGGCTGCCGCCTTGTCAATGCCACGACACATGCTTAAGTTGGGCTGCTTGATAGCTGCTGGTAGTGCGTGAAAAGGCCTTATCCTCCGGGCGACTCAAAGCTTGCGTGGACGAGGGATTGGGATAGCGGCGGATCCTATTTCCACCGGCGTCCAACCCCCGCCCCTCAAAACCATGTCCATGCACAGCGACCGGCGTTGTCATCCAAGCCTTTTTCCGTCCTGGCCTCCTATCTTGGCTTGAAATCCGACATGTAATGGCCAGCCTCCCCGATCGGGCTTCCCGAGGGGGGGGGGGGGGGGGGGGGTTCCACCTTGTCCTTTATCGGACACTCCCCGTCATCGTGCGTCCTCCTCCTCCACTGCCAGCTCTCTTCCTCACTGCATGCCCTCCATGAACTCGACCCGGTCGAGGATCATGCCCTTGAGTCCCAGGTACTCGCGCATAGATTCCCACTCTACTCCACCCTCTTCTCCATGCCGCCACTTCTCCCTAAAACCCCACGCGCAAGCCACGGCGTCCAGGCCCGCCCTCTCCTCCTCTCGCATCCACCGCTCATGCAGCGGGATACCAGGCGCCCAGGTGACGCGTTTCATGTGGTCGTTGGACGTGATTTTGGCCACCACGCCGATCGTGGATGTGAAGCTGAGGTACGCCATGATGGCCGCAAATCCTAGCGTCGTGGCCGTCGACGCCTCGACCGTGTTCTGGAAGTTGGACATGACGGAAGCCAGTGCGTAGGCAGCAAATGGGGCCGCGCCCATGACTGCCGCGGGGAGAAACGCCTTCTTCAGGAGCTTCTGTCGTCTGAAAGCGTGGCTGGTGTAGCAGCATTCAATCACGCCTAGCGCGGCGTCGAGGTTCTTGGCCTCAATAGCAACCCCCAACCCGGTTTCGGCCGTAGTCGCTTCGATCGCCTTGTCTGCCCGTTTGGGGTTTTGCTCAACGTATTTGATGGCGCCAGCAACAACTTCAGGTTTGGGCTTGGACGCATACAGCTCGAATACGTGGGGCAGTGTCTCGGGCCTGCCAAGCCTGGCCTGGACGTGCACGTAGAGGTCAAGGATCTCAGGCGTGATGAAAACTGGGGGGTGGGCGACGATGGCGTAGGCTGATTCGGAAACGCTGTTGACAGCCTCCCTCAGGAGCGCTGGGGCGTTTGAGCCCTGCTGCAGGCTGCTTGAGCCGCCAGACAAAGTGCTTGAGGCACCACCGTCCGAGTCGAGCGACAAGAGGCTCGACGCGGTGGAAGTCGTTGTACTGGATCTTGGCGCAGTCTGTGAGAGGTATGGGTGTATCGCATTCGCCGCCGTCTGGCAGGTCCTCAATGCCGCAAGCACGAGCTGGGGTGTCGGGATGCCGTCCGTGGACAAGAACCGTTCCTTGCTCTTCAAAACGAGGGCGGGCAACTTCCGCAGGTCCGGAAGTTCCTTCGGAGCTGTGCTCAAGGCGGAGGCCTGTTGCTGCTGTCGCGCTGGCCACTCCGTAGCCTGTGAACTTGCGAATCTCCTGGCTCCGTTGATGCCTTGATGTCTCAGAGAAGCACTGTAGAACCTAGTGGTCATGCTTTGTGGAGTGGCGATCCATAGGGGAGAAGGCTGAGCCTTCGCAGTGTGCAGAGGTCGAGTAGGCGCGAAGGCGCACAATCGACAAATGTCAGCCGACTGACGAGCCGTGCGAGGGACCGAAGACCGCATCATGGTTGGATAGTTGGCACAGCAGTCGAAGAATAGATGGGATGAATGGTGTCGGCTTGGCGAGTCGTGTCGTTGTTGCGCAGGAAACGCGATGCAGATCACCGCGCAAGTTCGTCGGTTCGGTCGTGGCAGTGCCCTGGAGCGTGCATGAACTGGTATCGGTCCTGACGTCGCTATTCTCGCCGTCGGTCATTCGAGAGGGGAATTCGGGTGCTTGCGGGATCTAAGAGGTCAATTGGGTATGGTCATGCAACGGACGGCCTGCACCAGTCCAGCGTCGAAGGTGGGAAGCTCTTGGAGTCGTGAGGCAGCTTTGCGGGAAAGAAAAAAAACAGCCTGAGGCTGTCGAACGAGGCTGTCATTAGCTATTCTCGGCCCTTTCGGCGAGCCGTTACAGCCCGGTGCCTGACTCCAGGGGACTTCAGGGGAACCTTCCCCTAATGGAAAGGTCTGCTCCCTATGTCCGCCAGGATGACATAATCCCCACATGGCGCCTGTGCACCTCCAACCCCTGGAGTCAACACACTTATATGCAGCTTTAGACGTCTACTTCAGCCTCCATTGCAACGTCCATCCACTCGTGGCAGACGTTTGTGCACTTGTCAGCTACGAGTTGGCAATTCGTTTGCGACATCATGCTCACCCTTCCAGCATGCTCACACAAAGCCTGATGTCCGTGACACTCGCGCTGATCGACATGCGTTGAGACTAATGCGTAGATGCATCACACTCTCAGCAAGCCTCTACTCATGATGCAAGAGCCTAGCGCCTAGCGTCCAGTGTCCACCCTGTTGCATTCATCCAGGGCTCAGGACACAGGATATATGCTCTAGCAAGGCGAGACCCACGACTGACTGAGGTAGGCAGACAACTGAGCCGATTCCTGACACGCTCCAGGGTGCCCAACTGACCGCCCTAGAGAATCCGTTGCCCCGTAGCGGCTTCATAGCGCGCAACCAAGGTGCCGCTCCGCCTTGTCCTCCTCCCCCTCCTCCAGACGGCACCTACCGTGGAACAGACCTCCCCCGTTGTGAACGCGAGCGGACTTGGCATCCCCCGCACTACGCTGCCGCCTCCCGTCGACTCAAGTCTCCCTGCGATGTGATCTTCTCATCGCATCTCGTCGTTTCACCGCTGTCCGGCAGTTGCGCGCCTGACACGCGGCAGCATTGGTCAGATGATCCACGTACACACCCCTGGGTTCCTGGAATCCATCTTTCCGTTCGCCGGTTTGCTCCGGTGTCTGGGCTTCTTCTTGTCGCGGCGGAATCTCTCGTCATCTCTGATGGTTCGCTTTGCCCTGACCCGGCCTCAGATCATGCCTCCGACGCGTAAGACACAGGAAGATCTCCTGACTAGTTGTCGTTCAAGTAACGATCGACATGGTCATCGATGACACAGATCGATTCTGTTTGTGACGGTGATCGGTTCTGTCAGGGGTTCTAAATTTGGATCTTAGATGCTGAGGTTGGTTTTTTTGTCCGGACAGAACACCGCCCTCTCGCTCATGTTGAAGTGTCCGGTGCACGTTGGTCTTGAAATCTTCGTATCTTGAAATTCCAGCGCAAGGGTCACGAATCTCCGTAAGCATGGCGGTCATGAGTTGCTGCTCTATCAAAACTGTCCTTTGTAGCTGCACATGCCGCACAACAGCTGCTAAGCCAAAGAAAACCCAAACTTCTGGCTACGACCCTCAAGAAAGAACATGCGGAATCTCATGAGGTTGCCCATCCACTAGACTGCTCTGTATCCCGAGAGCTTCGACAGGCGATTCAAGACATCATGTGCTAGCTGACGTGCTGAGCATACGATATTGAGGACGCCGGGGCTTGATGTCGTCTGCCGGCGGCGATGTACAAGATGAGTTTGCGTTCCGGCCAGCACGTTTGAGTAATGTCACACAAGAGGCATATCTGTTGGATCTTTCTCAGTCATGACGTTTGCCCAGAGTTGAATGAGACACATGTACATTTGGCGTCATGTTCATGGTACAGGCGACAAACTCAATGGAACCATGGCATTCATGGCGTGAGATCGGGTGCCAACGCCATGCCTGGCTTCCCTGTGGACTAAGTGTTGCCCGGGGAGAAAGTGAAGAGGCTTCTCTGTCTGACCGGGTGCATGCACTGTCAACGGTACTTGTTCATAACACTCGTATGACGAGCGCACCATTGTGTTGCTTTTTGGCGGTAAAAGCCGTTCTCACTCACAGCGATCTGGCGTAGACTTGTCATCTCGGGCTTGAGTTTAGGCCTGTGAGCTGAAGCACATGACTTGCAATACCCCTGAGAACAGCTTGGAAAATTGCAACTTTCGAGCGCCAATAATTGCAGAGCTGTTTGGCCTGACAACAGAGCGAATAGTTGGGTCTGTGTCACTGAGACGGATAGATTCTGGCATGGCTCGGGGGCCCTCTCTTCTCATTGCCTGTGACCTCTTCTCGTTGCCTGTGACCGTCCACTGTCAGTCCACCGATACCTGATGGAGGACTTGTGCGTCAGGCAATTTGAATGCTGGACTGGCTTCAAGAGATAGAGATAAACATCATACCATCGAGGTCTTGTAGAGGGTGGAGGTCAAGCCGTTTGTAGGGGTGATATCACGTGGCCACATGGAAGTGCATTAGGTAAGCGACACTGACGCGCAACGATGACGAAGCAGCCTGGCAGCTCTCCTGCGAGTAGTCCTGACAATCCATCTCCGCCGATCAGCCTATCTCGACAACGAATGACAAAGTCGTCGTCTTTGGCCCTACACAATTCAACCACCACCGAGCATCATCCGCGATCAAAGAGCCACAGTCGCGGTTATCCTAGCCCTACCTACCCGATATCCAGGTGCCACTCACCTCGGGCAGCAAAACAGGCCATTCATTGGGCGCTGCCGTCTTAGAAGTCCTGGCGTGCGACCTGCCAACCAACATCTCGACTGAACATACACCTCGAGAGAATCAGGACCAACATGCCGCCGCCTCCGCCGCCTCCACCACCTCCCATGCCCGTCATGGGTGGCCCTCCCCCTCCTCCCCCTCCCCCGCCTGGAGGACCACCAGCCGCCAACCTCCCCTCCAGGCCACCCACTGGGGCCGGACGTGTATGTGAAAGACTCGAATCTCAACGTCGATCTTGAAACCCCGGCACAACAACTGACTTGTTCTCTCAGGGTGCTCTTCTCGGCGAAATCGGCAAGGGCAAGGCGCTTCGAAAGGCAGTGACGAATGACCGCTCGGCACCTATCGTCAGCAAGTCTGCGAATAGCTCGGCCGGGCCCCCTATCGGCGGCGCACCTCCAGTTCCTGGTATGGGAATGGGCGGCATGCCCAAGCCTCCCGGAGGACTCGCCCCCCCTGCTCCTGGAAACCGCGCCAGAAGCAACAGCGACCAGAGCGGACGTGAGAGCTCAGGCGCAGGTATGGACGCCGCACCACAACTGGGCGGGCTCTTCGCAGGCGGCATGCCGAAGTTGCGGAAGAGTCGCGGCGGCGTTGACACAGGTGCTGCTGATTCCTCGTCATACCTCTCCGACCCAGAGTCGAGCGGCAGGTCCTTCTCCGCACCCAAGCCGCCCACCATGAGCGCGCCCAGGCCGCCGGGCGCCGCGGCACCCAGCATACCCGGAAGACCGTCACTGCCGCCGCCGCCCATCGGCAAGAAGGGACCGCCTCCCCCCATCGGCAAGAAGCCGCCCCCCCTACCGGCCTCGCGCAAACCGTCCTCCTCCATGCTGAGCCAGCCACCCTCCATTCCAGGAACGCCAGCACCGCCGCCACCGCCGTCTGCGGCACCGGCACCACCCCCTCCACCTCCTTCAGCGGCACCGGCTCCTCCAGCGCCACCTCCACCACCGCCCTCGGCTGCTCCCCGCCCGCCACCTCCTCCAGCGTCCTCTTCTCCGGCACCACCACCACCGCCGCCTCCACCGTCTGCCGGCCCTCCGAACCTGGCAGCCCAGGCCGCCATCCGCGCAGCGAGCCTGCCGCCCTCCCCCTCGCCGAGCAGCGCCCCTCCGGCCCCGCCTCCCCCACCACCAGCGGCATCCTCCCCGCCGCCGCCCCCTCCAGCCGCGCCCCCCTCACGCAACCGCGCCGGCTCTCTCCTTCGAACCTCCATGCTCGACCCCAGCGCCTTCACCCTTTCCGCCCCCAACGGCGCCGCCAGCCCGAGCCCCACCCGCTCCGCCGGCGGCCTCACCTCGCCGCCCCCTCCCGGTGCCGCAGGCGGCGGCGGCGGTGGCGCGCGCTACGTCGTGCACGACCCGCGTTGGAAGTTCCAGGACGACAGCATGCTGCCCAAGCCGAGGGAGTTTGTCGGCGGGACGCGAAAGTACAGGGCTGGCAGGGGGAGCAGCGTGCCGCTGGATCTGGCCGCGTTGTCGGCGTGAGCGGCTGCTTCTGTATGCCATCGGCGACGACCATGACGAGTGAGGACAAGAAGGGCGAGAGAGGACGCAGGAGGTTGCGATGGGGGACGCAGGAAGATGCGATCGAGGGAACAAACCATGGCTGGGCCACATTGCATCTCAATATAAGGATACTAGCTCGCACGGCTGAATAGACAATCACAAGTCTACGTCTGGCTTGACCACGCTCTGCTAGATAACCGATCAGATTGACCAGTGATGCGCAGGAGATGCTGCATGCAAACCCATGCAAGTAAAAAAAAGTCAAGTGTAAAATAAGTATATTTTAGCCTCGCGCGTGCGACCCTGAATGCGACTCGATGAGCGATCCCCCGCACACCACGCCACTCCATCATCTGTCGAGAAATCCATGGCTCCCTGCACGTATTACCCGCTCTTCCGTCAACATGAACGCCAGCATGCAAAACAACGCCGAGAGGTCCCTAGATGTGAAAGACCGATCAAAGAAAATGGAAAGAAAAAAAACAGGAAGAGGGGCCAGAGGGCCTACCGCCCAACTGTCATCCTTCATACGACATGGCCAACGCCCGGGCGAGCCCAGAGAGGGGTATCGTCTATATCGCAGCTCCGAAGACCCCAAGTAAAGACGTCGAAAAAAAAAGTTGCCAGACAATGGGAAAAAAAAAAGGCGAAAGTCAAATATCCCCGTTAAATCGTGTTACTTCGTGGCTTGTCGTGCGGGAGGGGAGATGGTTTCGCTCTTCAGATCTCTCTCGTCAGGCTACTCCAAAGTCATAAACATCCCCCCAATGATATTCGTCGCTCAGCTCGAGGCGACGACGCTTGCTCCCCAGCGGAGCCGTCGCAGCCCGCCGGAGGAGCGAATCACCTCCCGGCCGCAGGACGACGAGTCGGCGGCCACGGAGGAGGCGTTGACACCGGCGCCGGCGCTGGCAAAGGCTTCCTGTCGGCCGACCTCTCGACCCATGACGTAGCCGGCGCCGAACCCGACGACGGACACGAGGACGACGACGCCAGCGCTCATGACCCACGTCAGCAGCGTCGGGCTCATGAGGGTCGTCGTGCCGTCGTCGATGGCGACCTTTTTCTTCTTGGACACGCGGGCCGAACGCGTCTGGGACGAGGCGCTGCGCTTGTGCTTGTCGACGCCGTCGCCGGGTGAGGGCGACGTGGTCGTCGCTGCGCGGGAGCGGGCTGGGGATTTGGCGCGTGGGATGGGCTCGGGGACGGGGGTGGGTGCCATGAGCTCGGCTTCGGGCATGAGGCGGAGCTCGACGGGCCGGGTGCTGGGGCCGACGCCGGCGAGGGTGGGAGGGGCTCCTTGCTGCTCGGCGTCCTTGTACTTAGGCAGGCCGCGGGCGGCGGCGGCGCAGGAGAGCAGGGTCGTCAGCGACGTGCGGAGAGCTTCGTCGTGGTCGGCTTGGTAGGACGGGGACATGAAGTGGCCGGGGCCGCGCGAGACGCGTGTCTGCGAGCGCTGGCTCAGCGCAGGGCGTACCCGGCTGTGAGGGTGCGACGGCATGGATGTGTTTGTCGAGTGGCGGCGGCTGCCCAGCCCTGGTGGGTGAGAAAAGGCGTTGGGGTGTGGACGAAAGACTGGATCGTCGGAGACTCTGCCCAGTGCGGTGGCATTATCGTAGTCGTCATCGGAGTCCTCCGACGCCGACTGGGCCGGTCTCTGGAAAGACTGACGGATGGGCTGTTGAACGTTCTCGTTGGAGCTCGACAAGAGCCTGTCCTCTTCACTCTCCGTCTCCTCGTATTCTTCCTGGCTGCTGGTGCCTCCCTGGATAGCAGCCTGGTCGACGTGGTAGGATCGTGGCCCAGGAGGTTGGACCCGACGGCGGCGGGCAGTGGGTGGGTTTCCGACCCTCAAGCCGGTCGTCACGATCTCGTCACCGATGGAGGAAAGGGAGGAAGAGGAGGGCTGGGAGGAGATCTCGACCCAGGATTCTGGCAACGTCAGCACCATGGCGGAGGCCATGCGGTGGCGACAAGACTGACCGTCATTTCTCCGTTGCGGTCCAGCAGACGACAAGGCGCCGTGCGAGGCGCTGTGCCAGTTCACACTGGCGCGTTCCTCGCGCTGCGTTGGGTGCATGATGCCGGAGAGTCCAGTTTGGTGATGTGAAGCCGAACGAGACGATAGAACGCCGGAGATTCGAACTCGGAGGCTGCCGTGTCGAGGAACGCGCGGTGAGATGGAGAAAACTGGCAGGACCCCGCGCTTTCAGATGGACCCCCCACTGGTGATAAGCAAGGCAGGTGAGGGTGATGATGCTGATAAGAGGCAAGACGGTATTGTCGCGTCGAAAGAGATGCAAGTTTCGCGTGATGGGAGATGGAGAGATGAACTTGTCAATAGCATAGACCGCTTCGCTACTCTCCAAGTCAAGTGAGCAGGTATCGGTCAGAATGTTGAGGCTTTGTCGCTTTGATTAGTCGTGCCTTAGCACCATGGGCGCATGTAGCGGATACGTGGGTGGATGGCAGGCGGCGGCCGTGGGAAGGGGGCGGGGGCGGATGATGTGCTGGGCTGCGAGATACTGACTGGCTTGACCGGACTGGTACACTCCGACGCTACGACAGTGTCAGCTGTTTGTTTCAACGAGACGGTGACTGTGTGTTGCCACCCAAATGCATCGTGGACTCACAGTGTCAGTTAGACGGCTCCATGACGCCGTCAGACGCGGGGTACTTCCTCCCTCCACAGAGAGCGTTGCATATCCCTGGCTGCCCACTCACATGGCGTCTCAAGGCCAAGCGTTCAACACGCACCCAGCCATTGCGGCCCGTCAGGTGCGCAATACCCCACCAAGTCCGCCAGCGAGCCCACTGGTCACTGGTCACTGACCGCCAGCAAGCCCACTGACCACTGATCAGCCCGCAGCAGACGCGCTATGCTGCTCATGCCCCTCGAGCCCCGGCACCCTGCCATTGCCTGCGCACCTCTCGTCACCTCACCGCCTTCCATCCGACACCGGCCGCATCTCGAAGCCCGATCCAACATGGGGTCCTGGCATCATAATCGGCGGCAGTAGCCTGATGCACCCTGCAGCTAGCCACTGCGGTGGTTGTTTATCAGATCAGATCAAATCCCATCAGGAAAAGAGAGTGGATATCGTCGCCGCCTGCGACTCTTCAGCCTCGACACAGCCTGGCCGTCATCAGAGGCCAAGATATCGTTGGGGGTGTCTTGTCTGGCACGACCATGCCAGCTCCATCGTACCCCAACGAACACTCTCGTGACCTACCTACGCACCTGAGGTGGGTAGTTACATAACGTAGCCTGCTCCCGCCCTCATGGCCTTGTTTGTGGGTGCCCATGTCTCTCTTCTTGGTACTGATCAGCTCGTGAATCCAATCATGGGGCTCAGCCTCACGTACGTACCTGAATCCCGTGCCAACAGGCACTGCCATTCGTGCATCATTCTCTCACACGTACCCCAGAATACTTCACACCTTCACAAACACATCACGCACTGGAGGCACAGTCTCGTCATCGTACAAACATTTGGATTCTTTTACACTCCATAAACGCCGTTTCCATGTCTACTAGATACCCATACACGCATCGAGAGCCCAAGCTAGGGGGGGGGTCAGGGAGGCATACTTACTCCGGTCATGATCAACTCTTTCGACAATTGTCGTCGCAAGGCAAAATAGTGAAAAAGCCCACGGCAAGCACACAGCTCCGAAGAGACTGCATTCGACAGCCAGAGCCGTCGCAGATTATCCCTCAGAAGCCCACAAAGCCCACAAGCCCACAGATGAATGTGATCGCACAAACCCGGTCCACTTGCACCACCGCGACATCTCTTCGACTTTCCTGCAAGCAGGACAGAAGAAAGTGATCGCGGCGACGAAAGCTTCGTACCGATTCATGCTCGATCCAAGCCGTCTGCCCACTGTGTAGTATCTCGGTGTGATCCAAAAGAGCCCTCTGATTGAAGTGTCAAGTGCGTGTCTCTCAATGCTCGAAGAAAAGCGTCTCAAACTGCCATCCGAGTGCCAAGTCAGAAGCAGTGCCTCAAAAAATGGTGCCACGAGCCCACGGGTCCCGAGAGTGCCCAAAACAAAAGCCATCAAAGCCCACAGCTCCGGGTGGAGCGCATAGCCCTCAGTGTGCCTCTCTTCCTCTTCCTCTCTCTCTCTCTCTCTCACTCGCTCTCTCAGTACAAGTTTGTCCTCGATGAGGTCCGACAAACGACGAAAGGGGGGGGTATCATGCTTAGAAGGTGACCTTGGTGCCCTTGAAGTCACCGAGACCGCCACGGTTGGTCGAGGTGAAGCCGCCACGGCCACCGCCACGGCCACCACCACGGCCGCCGAAGCCGCCGCGACCGCCACCACGACCTCCGCGGTCACCGAAGCCACCGCGACCGCCACGGCCGCCACCGCGACCACCGAATCCACCGCGGCCGCCGCCGCCGCCACCGTCACGCTGGGGGCGCTGACCGGCGTAGTCCAGACGGACGGCGCGGCCAGAGCTGCCCTCACCGAGGTACTGGCCATTGAGCTCAGAAAGAGCCTTCTTGGCCTCATCAATCGAGCTGAACGAGACATAGCCGAAGCCCTTCAGGTTGCCAGACTCACTGCGGGGTAGTTAGCACCATGTTCAGGGATTTGGTAGGACCATATGACTTACGGGTCGGTGGGCAGGCGGACGCTGGTAGGCTCAGCAACAGTGGCGAAGAAAGCGTGGACGGTGTCCTGGTCCATCTCGAAGGAGATGTTGCCAACGAAGAGGGTGTCGCTCTCGGGGGAGAGGCTGTCACCGTGGCGCTGGGCGCGGTCGTTGGCGCGGTCGCCAGGGTTGTCGCTGCGCTCGGGGCGCTTGCCGGAGAAGTCAATGTTCATGTTACGGCCCTCAAGCTCAGTGCCGTTCTTGGCCTCGAGAGCGGTCTTGGCAGACTCGGCGTCGGAGAAGTCGACGTAGCCGAAGCCACGGCTGCGGCCACCCTCCCTGTCGGTGATGACACGGGCGGAAGTCAGGTTGGGGAATTCAGAGAAGGCCTGGTACAGGATGTCATCGTTGACGGCCCAGGCGAGGGAGCCGACGAACAGAGTGGCGCTCTGCTCAGACATGTCCTCAGTGCGGGCCTTCTTGGGGGGGATGACGGGGTCATCGAGAGCCTTGCGCTTCTTGCTGGGCTCCTCGGCTTTGGGGGCCTCCTCCTTCTCATCGGAGTCGGAGTCGGAAGAGTCGGAGTCAGACGAATCAGAAGACTGTAAAAGAAATCAGCAAGCAGCGCAGAGATGGCAAGACAATGGCGGGTTCTACTCACAGCCTCGGCCTTGGCAGCGGGCTTCTCGTCCGAGTCGCTCTCGGAAGAATCAGAGTCAGAGTCCGAGTCGGAGGACTCGGCCTTCTTGGTGACACCGTTGGACTTGGCCTCCTTGGTCTTGGGCTTGGCCTCCTCCTCGGAGTCAGAAGAGTCGGACGACTCAGCCTCGGACTCGGAGTCAGAGGAGTCGGAAGACTCCTCCTTCTTGGCAGCGGCCTTCTTGCCGTTGGCGGCCTTCTTCTTGGGCTTCTCCTCCTCAGACTCAGAGTCAGAAGAGTCGGAGGACTCGGCCTCGGAGGCAGAAGAGTCGGAGCTCTCAGACTCAGACTCGACCTTCTTCGACTTCTTCTTGGTAGCCTTCTCAGCGACCTCCTTGGCAACCTTCTTAGACTTGGCCTTGGGGCTGTCGGCGGGCTTGGTAACGCCGGCCGCCTTCACCTTGGTGAGAGGGTCGGAGGAGCCCTTCTTGCTCGACTTGACGGAAGTAGACTTGCCCATTGTGACGGTGCGGGGTAGGGTAGATGAAGGGGGTTTGAGGGAAAAGATAATGGAAGGGAGTTCGCACGAGGAATGGCAGTCGAAGAATCCCGAGAGTATGTAGGGAAAAGACAAAGGCTGAGATTGCGCTGGGCAGGTGCAGGGTTTTAAGGAACCTTGGGGGGGAGACTGCCGTGGTGGTTGGGATGGTCGCAAAGGGTCCTCGATTTTTTTGATTTTTTAGCGGGTCCTGCAACTTTTTCTGCAGCTGTTGTGGAGCGGGCGGTGAGCACGAAAGAAGCCTGCATGCGCACGGCCAGCAGCCTGGGGACCTTGAAGGTACGTACCGTCTTCCGTGTCTGCCTGGATTGACAGGCCACAATCGAAACTCGAGCTTGCCGCGCAGACCCGTGCCCATTGAACGTCGTGACATTACCAAACCACTCCAAGCCAGCATATCCCACCCTCACGAACGGTTACGCCTCCTCAACTCTGTCCACCGCCCCGAGCGACGCCAACTGCGAAAATGCCGACTCCCGAATCCCCTATGTTTCTGGCTCAGAAGCCGAAGGTCGCCCCCACATTCGACGGCGTCGACTACGATGACAACAAAGCATTCAAGCAGGCACAGGACGCTATCATCAGGGAACAATGGGTTGGAGCTATGATGGTGCGCCTCACTGGCGAGGAGCTGGGCAAGTGCTACTTGCGCGAGGGTGTCAACCACCTGGAGAAGTGCGGTCACCTACGAGGTTAGCACGCCGAGGTCCCCTCCGCCTGGTCGATACATGACCATTAGGAAAGAGGTTTTTGGGGAAACAACACTAACAAGTTCACAGAGAGGTACCTGCAATTGCTGAAGGAGAAGAAGGTCACGGGTACTCTGTTCGAACAAACAAACTACATCACGAAGCAAGGGAACAAGCAATGAGGGGCGGCAATCGGGATGTCTGAACTTCAAGGCTGTGGAGATCGGGAGAGGCAGGCAAATAGTCTTCTGCAAGGATAGAGACGAAGTGCAATCAGCGATCCTTCGAGAGTTTTGAGGCCAGGGAACGTGGTTTGACGGCATCAGGCCAGAGCCATATCTCAGCATGTACATATAGAGTAGTCGAACGAACCGAGTTATGCACCTATCCAACAAACCCACGTTCAAATGCCTGAAGCGCGAACACGCGAGCTCCCGATTCTCAGTATTTCTACTAATGCTAAGGTACCTAGTTGGAGAAAGCGTTGAAAAGCTGGGGGCGTATTCAAGTCGTGTCTTTATTCATCAGTCGTCAAGAGTGGTTGACGCCTCACGTGCCAAGACTGCGCACCGAGCTCATCCCGCCCACCCCAGAATTTTTAGTCCCTATCTCCCAAACTGGCGACAGACCTCACCTCCATCATCAGCAAAACGCCAGTCCTCCATCCACGGCCGACGTCTCGCCTCTCCCCTAGCCGCGACAATGATCTGCCGAACTTGCCTCCGTCGCGCAGCGACGACCCTTCCTCTTCGCACTGTCGCTCCGATCCCCTTTGCCAGACCATTCTCCATCTCTGCTTCCACAAGGTCATCACCAGCAGGCAGCCTGGGCACCTCCGAAGCTTCGCCTGCCTCGTCGACCGCCGAACCCACCGCCACACCCACTCTCTCCACGCCCATCGACCTCCCTTCCGCTGCCGCCGCGAAGCCGGTCCGCGAACCCTCCTCCTGCCAGGCCGGCACTGTCCTCAATGGCCTGAACTACTTCAAGGGCAAGACCGACCCTGTCGCCCTCGCCGACGAGGAATACCCCGACTGGCTCTGGGACTGCCTGGTCTTCAAGGCTAAGGAAGATGCTGGTGCCGATGCTGAGGCTGCCGACGAGTTCTGTGAGTATATATCCACCCGGTCTGCTCTGCTCTGCCGATGAGCCCCCAAACGGCATCTGCGCGCGACAGTACCAAGCTAACGCTCTCCTAGCCAAATCTGCAAAGCTTCGTCGCAAGGCCGCCAAGCGCAAGGCCAAGCTCCTCGCCGAGGGTGGCATCGATGCCCTGGCACCCAAGGTGCCTCTGTACCAGCAGTCTATCAACCTGCCTGGTGAGGAGGGCGGCAGTGTCGAGGACAACCTCATGGCGGCTGGAAAGCGCGAGGAGCTGAGACAGGCCATGCGCAGCGAGCGTAAGCGCAAGATCAAGGAGTCCAACTACCTCAAGTCTATGTAAAGCGCATGGGTAATTGGACGTGGATAACCGGTGTGGGCGCTGTTCGCGACATCAGATGCGTTCAGGACCCGGTGATTGATGTATCATAACGGGACAGCTGGGGAGCTACACGGATGGTGTGGAACATGTACACTAGGATAGAGTTGGCGTGATGCCGGCCTGTATACCAACACTTTGTGTATCAAATAGACTCAAGTCGTGGTCATTTACCGGTGGGGCCCTTACGTGCCAGTTTGGACATTGTTGCTACGGTCTCTGCCATGTAGAGGCTGCTCTGTCACGGTTCTACTCCTCTTCCTCCTCCTCTTCATCCTCAGGCGGTAAGGACGAAAGCTTGACCCCCAATTCGGCCTTGAGATTCCGTAGACGGCTCTCAATCCTGCGCGACAGGATTTTGTTTCCTGCATTTTGTGCAAGTTCTGCTTCTGTTTGTGCGATACTCTTCTTGAGCGCCGCAATGTCCTCGCGTACGCCCTTGATCCGAGTCTGCTCCTCGTTATCAACGTCACTGTCATCGTCCTCGTCGCTAACTTCTTCCTCTTCTTCCTCTTCATTTGCACTTTCCTGTGCGCGGCCGGCGGGCGTGCCAGAGTTCATTGTGCCCGGAGTCACGCCATCGAGTTGTGTGGCTGGTGTCTGTCCTTCTGGCTCGTCGTCGTTCATCATCTCCATTTCAAGTGCAGCCTCAAGATCGGCCGCCATGTCGTCGTCATCATCCTCGACCATCGCACCTCCAGCGTAGCCTGACGCCGGGAAATAGCCGCTGTCATCGGCCTCGCCGTCGGCATCCTCCTCATCTGAGTAGCCTGCGTCTTCGTCGCCTTCATCTTCAGAGTGCATTTGTCGGTCGTCCATGAACTCATACCGTGAACTCACGGCAGCAGCATCAGCTTGAAGCAGCTTCCTAACCTCTGCCTCTTTGAGCTCGATTTCTGACCGCTCAATGACTTTTGCGAATCTCTGGTTGACGGCATCGTGCATTGGGGGAGTGAGCCCGTGCGGCCACTTGAATCCTGGCTGGACCATAGGTGGGAGAGGGGCCTTGCGTGCTTCATCCTCGGATGCTACCTTTTGAAAAACAAGCAGCATATTGCAGATATCGGCAGACTTCATGAAAGTCTTGCGATCCCACGTCTTCATACCCTCCGTGATTGTAGGCAGCTCGAGCATGACAGCGGCGTACAGCTGACCCTTAACTTGCACGACAGCACGCCGTGCCTCGTCTTCAAGCCACTTGATCGCGAGATCTGCGCCGCCCTGCGACCGGGGCATGCCAATCTTGCCCTCCTCCATACATCTTCGGATGTAATCGCAGTGCTCTCCAGGCAGCATGCGCAAGACAAATTGCTCTTCGATGGTCGGGTCTATCTCGCGGTCGCTCGCTTCCGAATCGTAGCCATCGCCAGGCGGGTGGTTCGGGGGCTTGCCCCTCGACTTGAGGATGAGGCCACTGCTCGTGCGCGGCAAGGCGGAGTTGGGTGTCTTGAGAAGCTTGATCCTCTTCGCCGGCTGCCCAGTAATGGGGTCGTCCTCATCGTCGATCTCGTATTGCTCCCTCTTTTTTGACTCGATCAGTTTGTTCGTTGGCTTGGTCTGGCGGCCCGCTTTCGTCTTTGCGTTTGTTGGTTTGGGTGCCGCAGAGGCCGGCGTTGGAGGTTGTGACGCCTTGAGTCTGATCTTTGGTGTCGCGAGGGGCGTAGCGGCTGACTGAGGCGCCTTTGTCGCGTTGGCATCGCTGAAGGAAGCAGCGCGACTCACGCTGAGCTTCAGCTTCGGCCGCGGCGGAGGAGCGCTGATGCCCGACATGGATAATGTGGGAGGAGTCCGGCAGAAGAATCAACGTATGATCGTGTCGACGAAGAAAGCTTGAATCGTCCAGGTAATTCGAGCCGACACAGTCAAGATGTGGCTGTTTGCGCCGAGAGTGGGGAGTGAGTCGTCGTTTACGTCCTTGACTGACATTCGCGAAGAGCGAAGCGCCGAGTGCACGTTGATTAGGTAAGAAACAAGGCAGTTACGGATGCGCTTGTGGAGAGGTATGTCGGAGGCTGCAAGGACAGAGTTAGAGTTGGGTCAAGGCTTGTGGTGGTGGGAGGCGTGTCGGGGGCAAGAGTTGGCTCAAGTCAACCCCGGATGAAGGAAAGTCAACGATACGTCTGAAAACCGAGGCAAGGTACACGAAGCTAGGTAGGCCGACGGCAGATAGCCTTGCAGGCTGAAGTTGGTTCGAGCTCGGGAGCCCACCTCCACTGGGGCGTCTGTCCGGGAGTGCCCCAGGCGCTGTTAGCTGCTCCACTCCAAGTACCTGGACCTGCAACGACGACTGGCATCGCTCTTCAACTATGGAATCCTCGTTAAAAGGCAAGTCAAATACTCCTACAAGACCAACAGTTAGAGCTTCTGTCCGGGTTCACGAAGGTAAAAAGCGGCACACGTAATATGAATCGGGCAACTGGGCTTTCTTTTGACAAAAAGTGATATTGGTAAGACCATCTCATCAAACGAACAAGTCAATTGGCCCACGTGACTTAGAATGCCCTTTGCAGATCCCCATCCGGGCAGAGACCTGTACCGCGAGGTAGGGGTACTTAATTTGCGCCGTTATCTTAGGTGCCCAGCACCGATAGGGACCCCTGAAGCCAACGAAGCCGACCTGACGTTGGCTGGCTCATGAAATTGTTCCTGACCCCCTTTCCAACCCGCCACGATTTCTCCGAGTGTACAAGCATCAACTCCAACGATATAGCCACGACAAAGTGCATGCCGAGACGCCCTTTTGATACCCGAATCCTGGCCGAATTTGAACTGGATCGAACGAATTGAAATAACCGCCCAACATGTCGTCTTCAGCTGTACGTCTCAATCAGTGTGTGTCGGTGTCGGTGGGAGGATGCTGTGTGGGGAGGGGAGAAATACGTCTTGGCTGACCTGACAATGCTGCTATACAGACTTTCCGCCGAAAGAAGAATGTGAAGAAGGGTATTCAATTCTGCCTGATGGTCTGCGGTGCCTCGGGAACTGGTGCGTCGATTCCGGTCGAGTCCAATCATACAGCAAACTAACATGATCCCATCACACAGGCCGGACTACCTTCGTCAACATGCTCTGCGGCAAGGATGTGCTGGCACACAAGGATGTCGATGATGAGAGCGCTCAGGTTGACCAGGGCCTCAAGATCAAGCCCGTTACTGTCGGTGCGTGTACGCCGACTTCTTGAACAAGCGATTCACGCTGACACGGAACCTCTACAGAGCTCGACCTGGACGAGGACCGCACCCGCATCTCCCTGACAATCGTCGACACCCCCGGCTTTGGAGACGAGATTGATAACGAGGCCTCGTGAGCAGTTCCCGGCCGGCAGCGATTGCGTCTGTCGATACTTGCTAACAACGTCTCTACAGTTTCGGTGAAATCGCCGGCTACCTCGAGCGACAGTATGATGACCAGCTCGCCGAGGAGTCGAGGATCAAGCGCAACCCTCGCTTCAGAGACAACCGAGTGCACGTCATGCTTTACTTCATCACGCCTACCGGCCATGGGTGCGTCCTGCCTGGCATACTTACTGTCCTCATGCACTTGTGACACACTGACTAACAGCCAATAGGCTCCGTGAGCTTGACATTGAGCTCATGCGCCGCCTTGCTCCCCGCGTCAACGTTATTCCTGTTATCGGCCGTGCCGATTCCCTCACACCCTCCGAACTCGCCCAATCCAAGAAGCTGATCATGGAGGATATCGAGTACTACCGTATCCCCGTCTACAACTTCCCCTACGATGTCGAGGAGGATGATGAGGAGACCGTCGAGGAGAATGCTGAGCTGCGGAGCCTCATGCCCTTCGCTATCGTCGGTAGCGAGGAGGTTGTGGAGATCGGTGGCCGTAAGGTTCGCGCCAGGCAATACCCGTGGGGCGTTGTCGAGGTGGATGACCCCAAGCACTCTGACTTCCTGGCCATCCGCTCCGCGTTGCTGTACAGCCACCTGGTTGACCTGAAGGAGATTACTTTCGACTTCCTCTACGAGAACTACCGTACCGAGAAGCTGTCCAAGGCTGTGGAGGGTGGTGCCGAGGCGTACGTTCCAGTTTCCTCTTCATACTTGCAGACCAGTGCCACTAACATCCCCGATAGCGACTCGTCCATAAACCCCGATGATATGGTGTCTCAGTCCTACCGCCTCAAGGAGGAGCAGCTCCGAAGGGAGGAGGAGAAGTTCCGCGAGATCGAAATCAGAGTCCAGCGCGAGATCAACGAGAAGCGCCAGGAGCTGTTGGCTCGCGAGTCGCAACTGCGCGACATCGAGGCGCGCATCGAGCGGGAGACTGGCGCTGCTGTGGCTCAGCAGCAGGCCGCCGCCGCTGCTGCCGCGGCCAACAACGCTGCCGCGAACGGCGAGAACGACGGCAAATAAGTCCAGGGGGGAGGAAGACACTGGCCATGACTGGCCAGTTGATTGTCATTTGCTAGCCCGTTTGCTCTATGTCAAAATCGGAGAGGGCATTATTGCGGATCCAAAACTCGTTACCTGTCATCGAGCAAGCCGCGTCACTAATATCTTTGAAATGTGTTCTTGTTATATTCTTCTCAATTTGTATTGGCACGTAATACTATTAGAGAACTGCCCCGTGAAGGGATTTGACCTTGGTCTAACGACCGCGTGCAACTAGTCATGGTGAGATATTGCTGACAGGCTCGCCACTCCGGCTCAGTCGTATGCAGCTTGGTCATTTCATGGCGATCGAATACATGGCCATTCAAGCTGGCGAATTATTATGACAGGCTTTGATTTTGAAGAACGCAAGCAACGTAAGTCCTGCCTTTCTGACCCTCCATATCCTTTACAGACATGACGTCCTCGTATCGGAAGACTTTGGGCCAATAGTCTTCTTAGACAACACTCTCATCCTTCATCTCGTTTGAGTCCTCTTCGGCTGATATCGAGTCCTGAGACAGTGTATCAAGTCTCATCCAAGAAGAAAGGAGGAACTGGCATGCTCTTAATAGCCTCCAGTACTTGATACCACTCTAGTTGCCCCTCGAGGATAATGCGACGAAAGGGCTTGCCCCGGCCCTTGGAGGGGACGACCAGTTCCGGGAACGTTTTCAGTAACATGCTTTGTACAAAGGAAGACATTTCCTTGTCCTCCAGGCCGTCAATGAACTCCCAGATAAGCAATTTGTGGGCATGGGTGGTTGGCGGCTCCTCTGCTCTGGCTTTCGCGTCGATGAACTTTGCAAATCTGGTAAATGCTAGGCGACGTAGTCGACCGTCAGAAGCTTTCTGCTTAATGACTTGATTCCTCTCTGTAGTCCGACGCTCGACTGGTTTAGCGGCGGGGCGATGATGGACCTTTGGTCTTGTATCCTGTTTCCGAAGCGGCGTGACTGGTTTCGCCAGTTTTAGGCCTGTTGCAGTGGCCTCCCGTGATTTCACCCCTGCTGCGCTCCTGAGAGTCCGCCTTGCAGGTGACTGCACCGGTCCCAGAGAAGATGTTCTTTTAAGCTTTCGTCCTATGACTTTGTTGACTTTGTTTGGCTCCGCCACATCGTCATTCGCATATCTGGCCTTCTCCTTCGATGTCCTATCGACGGCGAGCCCCTTGTTTCTGGGACTCTCAGGTTCGCTTCCACTCTCTGAAGCAGTGGAGATATCGTCTGCAGGAGCTTGATGGCGGTCAGTCGCATAGTTGCGAGCGTGCTTTTCAGACTGCCATACCTGGTTTGATACTTTCTGCTTCCACGCTTTTCTCTGGCACCGTTGCCGTTGTAGCTACTTTTGGTGCAGCCTCGCCTGGATACGTGTGCATGTCCTCACTGGGCACAATAGGCTCTTCTGTGATCGAGGTGCTCCGTGCTGTGACTTCCTGCTGGATTTGTCTCGTTTGGTCAACCAACCTGTTTACATCAGCTAGGAGACTTTCACGCTGTGTGTTGAACTCGGAGACCATCTCAATCATCTTCTCATGTTTCTGGCGAAGTTCTTTCTCCAAGTCCTCGACGCGCATATGCTCAGATGGGTCTGGCTGGGATTTGGCCACCATCGCCTGCAACGCTGTCATTTCCTTCTCGAGAGCGCCCATGGCTCGCTCCGCCTGCTGTCGCGCCGCAGAGTCAATAGAGGCTTTGGCCTCTACAGCTTTGACGCGGTCGTACATTCTGGCAAGACTGCGCTGGGTATTGCGCACATCGTACGGGAAAACAAGATTGACTAGAGAGATGGCTAGCTCAGTGGCATTGCGAGGATACTCGGATTGGTGGGACAGCAGCGTCTCGCAGCTGTCGGTGCCTTGTTGCTGGGGTTGGCCGCTGAGAAACAATGGTCGACGTTGAGCATGGACAGTAGGCTCGCTTTGGTTCATGTCGCGAAACGTTGCCTCTGGGCAGAAGCTCAAGCTCCTGCGAGCTGTGAGTAGACCCGATGAGGGGAGGGAGGGGACCGAAGGCAGATCCATGACTTGAGGGAGGGCAAGTGGGATGCTCGCGAACAGCGATCAATAGGGTAGGCGCAGAAGCTACAGAGGAAGCCCGAGAACAGGCCGGCCATACAATGATGGTTTACGAAGTCATCGTGTTGATATGAAGCGAGGCAGGGTCAACAAAGACCGTGAGCATGAGCAGAATAGTATTCACTCGTGAGGAAGCGATGATCGACCGTGACTTCCCCGTTGCAAGGCCACCAGAGCAACTACAAACGACATGATCGGGGTTGCGATTGCCGCCTTACTGACCAGCGCCTCGGGTACTCGTCCATTCGGCAGCCTCTCCCTTGTCCCTCCTGTCTGCAATCCACGACAAGAAGAGCTCAACATCCTTCGCGACGACCCCGACGACCGCCCTCGTCTGCACCCACATGGGCAGCACGCCCTTCGCATCCGATGCCGTGGCCATGAGCCACTCGATCTGCCCCAGTTCGGTGCGGCGAATCCTCTCAACGCTCACGTACGCTCCGACAATGATACCCTTCTCCTTAACCAGTCCACCCAAATCCGAACCCTGGAGATCCCTGAGCGGCACCGAAACGACCACAAACTCATCCCGCCCGCGGACCGCCGCCGCCACCATGACCGTACCAAACACGCGGTCCCTCAGCAAGCCCCCCGGCATGGCATGCCTCATCTCCTGCACGCACAGCACCTCGCACACCCGCACCTCGCCCGCGACGTCCACTTCGACCCCCGCCGCCCCCTCCCACCGCGCCCCCTCGCGGCTGTCGACGACGCCGGGCGTGAAGGCCCTCTCGCTCGCCCGGTGCCGCTCGAGAAAACACGCCGCAAACTCGCGCCAGCTCGCCGTCCACGACGCGGGCAGAGGTCTCGACGGCCGCCGCGGAGACCTTGAAGCGCTTCGTGCCTTTGGGCGTCCAGGACGTGGACGGCGTGCCGGCGCGTGGCGCGGCCGAGTCGAGGAAGGGAATGGCGGGGGCGAGCAGGGCGTGGAGGAAAGGGATTTGGGTTTCCGACGTGGCGGAGGGGGCGGGGAGTTGCGAGACGGGAAGCCCGGACAGGCGGAGGAGAGTGGAAGTTGAAGGGTCCGACATTGGGCTTTGGAAGACCATGCAGCGTGAATACTCACATGGAATGAGGATGAGTTGTTTCGCTTGCGGCGGATATGGTGGAGTTGCGCAAAGTTCAATAAAGTCGAATTTGCCAAAGTCTGTTTCGCACTGACCCCCTTGATGAGTGGCATGGGCATGCAAACGGGGGTAGTCTCGCATCGTCATTACATCTCCATAACGCCAATCACATCGAGTTGGGCAGGACAGTTGCACCTCACTGTCAGCCAGGTCATTGCATCGGCAATCACTTCGTCAAGCGAAAGCGAGGGGAAACAAAAGGCATTGTATGCTCGTTCATGAAGTCTTCATGTCATCTTGTATTAAAGTCTATACCTGCAGCTCTACAGAGTGAGCTTTCCCTCATTCTAAATTATATACAGCACATGGAAAGGATTACCGCCGGAACCTCTCGCGCACAGGCCAGCAACAATAAACTCATGCCTTCTCCCGTCTCTCGTAGCGAATGTTGACGGGCTCCAACGGGCGCGAGAACAGCGAGGCGTAGTCGGTGCCGTTAATGTTGCTGCTGCCGTCGGCGTTGGAAAACTTGACGAGGCGCACAATCTCGGCTGTGATGGTCTGCAGCTGGACATTGGCAAACTGCTCGCCAATGCAGCGGTGACGGCCGGCGCCAAAGGGAAGGTAGGGCGAGTTGGCACCCTTGCTGACGAGGCCGTAACCGTAGTCGATCTTCTCCTCGTCGGCGCTCTCGGCGCGCGAAAAGGTCGGGGCATTGGGCGAGTCGGGGAGCCAGCGGTAGGGGTCCCAGATGGCGGGGTTCGGGAAGTATGTCGGGTCGGTGGCCGAGGTGCCGGGAGCCGAGAGAAGGTTGTGGCTCGTGGGGATGACGTACTTGGTGCCGGGGACGGGCATGGGCGATTTGACCTTGCGCAAAATGGAGTGGATGGGCGCGTGGAGGCGGAGCGTCTCCTTGATGATGGCCTGATTGAGGGGCAACTTGGAGAGATCTTCGTAGGTGAGGGGAGGGAGGTCGGCACCAAAGGCCTCGACCTGCTCCTTGTAGAGGTCGTCAATAACGGCGGGGTTCTGGGCGAGGCGCGCCATGATCCAGGACGAGGTGGAGGAGGAAGAGTGCTGGCCGGCCATGAGGAGAGCGATCATCATGTGCGCAATTTCATGGTCGGGGACGTTGATGCCGTTCTTGTACGTGGAGCGCATGAGGTGGGAGATCATGTCGAGGCCATCGGTGCGGCCAGACTCGCGGCGGTCCTTGATCGTGTCCATGAAGATCTGGGCAACGGCCTTCTGGGCGGCGTCACGCTTACGGTTCCAGGGGAGGGGCGCCCAGTGGAGAGCAAAGTTGATGGCGGAGAAGCCCATGTCGAGGTCGTGGTACAGCTCGGCGAGGGACGTGTCGAACTTGTTGCGAATCTCGGAGCCCTGAAGGGCGTGGGAGGCGGTGAAGATGGTGATTTCGGCCATTCTGGGGGGGATGTTGACGACGCCGGACTGTTCCTTGAAGTACTTGCTCGTCTTGAAGAAGTTCTGGACCTCGTGGGAGATGATGGGGACGTAGGAGCGGAAGGCCTCAGTGGTCAAGGCGATCTTCATGAACTGAAAATGGGGAAGCGTGTCAGCTGCTATTCGAGGGGCGACAAGGGATGAAAGACAGGCACCAACCTTCTTCTGCTCCATGAGCTTGGCGTTGGGGCAGTCGTAGACAACATCGCGACCAAAGACGGGCGTAGTGAGGACGCTGTAGATCTCCTCGGCGTTGACGTCGCGCTGCTTGCCGTTGAGGATGAAGTCGTTGCCCTGGGGGCCGACAGCGACGGTGGTCTTGCTGCCGAGGAGAATAAAAGTGAAGACGTCACCATACTGGGATTCCAGAATCAGTTCAAGTTCGTCACACAACGATTAAATCACTGGGGCGTACCTTTTTCTTGTTGGCCTCGAAGAAGGCGGGAGGGTCCATGCCATAGGTGACGGTGTTTCCAATGAAGGGGAACCAGCTGAAGACCATGGGGGGCTCATTGGGGTTCTTGAACAGGAGCTGGTTGGCGACATGGATGACGACAGAGAGGAGCACGACGCCGAAGACAACGACGCCAACTTGCGACGCGGTGCCGAGGGTCTGGAACTGCTGCGCAGCAGGACCGGTGATCTCTTGAAGGAGACCCATGATGTTGGCGGACCTGTTGAGGGAGGAAAGAAGGAATAGGTGAACCGGCGGGGTGAGGTCGCCGTGGCCGTGACAGACGGGACTCGGTCGTTTCTCGTCTACTCGTGGATCGTGGCCGTCGTCGTCAATGGGCTCGTCGATGCGATCAGGAGGTGGTGCGAGACGGTGGGGTTGGCGTATGTCTCGAGGGTGCGCGACGGGTTAAATTATATCGGCAATATTTTCCTTTGGGGGGGTGGAAGGGACTGCGCACGCGAGGTGCAAGGGGGTTCAGGGGCGCTGCCAATTCGCAAAAGCCCATCCATTGCAAGCCGCTAACATCCGCAGCAAGGGCTCCACCTCAACGATCCAAGACTCCAGGGTCCCCATTCTGGCAAAGGCGGTCAAACCTTCCGGTACCCAATCATGGCTCCAGCGTATTCGTATCGTCCACGGCCAGGGCCTTGGTTCCGTCTGCACATCGTCTGATAACTTGCGACTTTCTCCTTTATCAACCCATCAGGAAATTTGCTGACCTTTCCCAGCAATGTACGTCGTCGCAGGGCATCGTACCACCCGAATAAGAAGACGACTCTTTTCGGTGCCATCTTGTAGCCCGTCCGCCCCCGACCCATTACTGAGGCTGCGCTGGCCAGAATTGTGCCCCTGCCAGCCGCCGTCGATCTTGTTGTCCCTCCCAGTGGCCTGAGGTTTGCCACTTGTTGACTTTGATACCAGGTGGCCAATGACCGCTCAGCAGTTACAGATCGTGGTGTGCACGCTACTAGTGGGAGGCCAAGATTGACTTCTGACTGGCATGTGATACCAACCAGACGTCATCCCGCCTTGTGGCCTGGATCTGTCGCCATTCCCAGTCAGCAACGCCCTGCTCGACAGTAGCATTGCCGTTAATCACGTATAGGCAGCATCAAAAACTCTTGATACCTGTCGACTGCCACATCATTGCCAACTCTTTCACGAATCCTCTGGCATGCGCATCGCTGCTGTCGTCCAAGAGAACAGTGAACATCTAAACTGCGTCTGTTGCAGTCCTCCTGCACCTCCTCGAGATACGAATACGACTAACTCAAGTTGTCCTCCGTGACGACGCCCTCAGATGCCGTGCTGCGCCCCTCTACGGACGATCCTGCTGCACGTGACTCCCCACACATATGCACCTGTTTCAGGGTACCTGAAGCTCCCCGAGAGCTGATACGAATACGACAAACTAAGACCTCGAGGCCCAGTATCTTAATCCCAGACAAGTCAAAGAGTGACTGCCTCTCTTCACCTCCCCATGCCAAGAGCATCAAAACGAATACGATGAACCAAGGTACCGAGACCTGTCCTCACCTACCTGGCATAGACTCCTCCGCTCGACCTGTCGAGCATGAAGTGCAGCTACATGACGTGTCTTGTACGTCCTGCTTGGCCGACCTCAAGACGGAAAATCCCAGAACTGGACTGCAGTGACGCGCAGGCTTGCATGTGAAATAATGGGTATTGTAATGAACTAAGTACCGTGAAGGTACTAGTAACGACCGACGCCGGCTATGACCCACCTCCCTTTGACGCAGGCGATAAAGTTCAACCTGCCCGGGGGGCTTCCTCTCCTCTCCTATGCTTCGAAACAAAGAAATAACGACACCCAACGCCTGTCACAGATCGACTACTGACCACCTCTGTATGCTTCTGCGCATATTTTCCAGACCACACCGCCGCTCAAGAAGCACGCGGCCTACCATGACAGGGCTGTCCATCCATAATCTCCGTCGACATTGACCCAATTGTCCTTCTCCATGGCTCGCTCCCACCCCATCATGACTGCCAACAGCCGACAGCCCATGGCGCTCACTGTGCAAATGACAACGTCACTCGATCCTGACAACACGGCGAGGTCAAGCATGTACGCGCGTCCTATGTAGCTGCGCAGGCGTACCGCATCTGCTGTAGGTTGCGGCTTCTTAGTCTGCCCTGCAACTCCTTTGGCTGGGCTCTGGCCAGACTGCCCTAGACTCCAGAACATGGGTGCGAAGAAGCCACCCTCCCAGCCAAAAGAATCGTCCACAAAGTGGTGCATGACGCGAGGGTTTGGATTGCCCTTTTGGACCTCCTGCTTGCCGGCTAGGCGGATGCGGTCCTGCGCCTGATGAGCACCCCTGAACTCCTCCGACTCATAAACCATGGGGTCGTCAGAGGCCATAACAATGAGGGAATGCTCCTGGGCAGGGACGTCATCTTGACCACCCCTGCCAGCCCCCTGGTAGCTGACTTCTATGATGTGTCGCGCCTTGTCCGTAAAGGCGTTGATGGGGATGTAGGAGCTGCGGTATTGGTATTCCAAGGGGTGGCAGTCGCCATGGCGGACGTGCACGCCAACGACCATACCGTTGTTGGGGGAGGAGCCCTGTGTACGCGTTTTTCGGGCCAACAGATTCATTCGATCCTCTGCATATTTAGCGTCTTCCGTGTTGAGCTTGAACAGCGCTTCGTAGCCAGCTCTTGCAAGGTCGTAAAGCTCTCGCACGGAGGAATCGCCGTGGCCTCCCTGCATGGGATAGGGCTTGCTGAGGGAGTCCGCCCACATGCTTCGGGCAGTAGCCGATGTAACTACCAAGTGCCGGGCCTGTATCGGACAAGGGAGCATCTGATGGCGTGGAGGAGGAAGACAGTTTGGAACGGGAGGGGGTTGGAAGATGTCGGTGTACTTCCCATATGCCCATCTTGAGTCATCGATGAAGAAGGACCTTCCCTGCTTGAGAGCAAGTCCGTAGAACAGCCAAAGTTCCATCAAAGTGTTGCCCAAGCCAGCATCTGCCGTCTCGAGCACAAAGGTCATGGTGCTCTCGCAAACGGCCTTCTTTCCGACAGACTCCCCGGTTTCCCCAATGATATGACTGGTTTGAACAGTCTTCTCAGCCAGTCCTGGAAGAAGACCAGCCTTCTCGGCGTCAGGAACGTCGATGAAGTACTTGTCCGAGGGGCTTGCCCCGCCCAAGGAAGTCTGGAACGGGGGCGGGTTCTTGTTCCGCATATCCCTTACACGGCTGGCTACTTCACGGCACTTCCCGATCATCTCTCCATAGTCCTCCACGCCCAGTGGAAATTCGAAATCCGGTGGGATCGAGACGGTCCACTTTGATCTGCCGGTCGTGTCTGTAACGATGATCGGGGTGGCAAAGTCGGGTAGATCGTCTTGCCCAATCATCTCGAATTCTTGTTCATTTGTGAGGTATGGGATGCCCATCGGAACATTGCCTCGAATGGTGATGGTAGCGAAGTAGAAAATGAGTAGAAAGAAAGTGAGCCAAAGGAGGCCGCGGAGCATCCGGCTTGGCCGAGGATGTGTGGGTGACCTTCGCGGTCGTGGCACCAGGGCAGGAAGACTGGGTGATGGCGGAGGCGAAGTGAAGAGGAGGTGATTGAAGTTGAAGCGGGATGATGTTGAAGACAGCGGCGCCTTGTCGTAATGATGCCTGTCGTTGTTGTAAGAGGCAGCTCGTCTGAGGTTCATGCGCGGGGACCCAGTGAAGATCTTAGACCTGCTCAGATCCAGAGGTGCCGGCATCTTGTCTCTCATGGCCATCGTGTCGGTCCAAGGCAAGTGAGATGGCAGGATATCGTGAGATGTCTGAACGCACGTTCGGATAGATAGCCCAGCCTCAAGGAAGCATCCAGATGGCCTCAAAGGAGTGCAAAGTAAAATGATATGGGGCAAGGAATGTGTGTGGGAAAAAGTTTAGTCAAGATGTTAAGGAGTGACACTGTGATCCCGTCAAGGGAAACTCTCATGATACCCAAACGTTGTACAACGTGCTGTTGTGGTCGAGGCGGTGGGAGTTGAGAAGCAGACTGAGCGAGGGGCTCGGTTGGTGAAAAGAATCCTCTTGTTGGTTAGGTTTGCGGGGAAGAACAAGACATCAGACGACTGCCGGCTGGGCTGCCTGTGGCTGGGTGACGCAGGCTTGACAAGGGGAATAGGTGATCAGCGGCCGACGATGCGTGTTGATGACAGGCGGTCGATCCGGGCGACGATCATGCCGAGACGGTTGATGCTAGGGATACAATAGGGCCGGCCCTCCTAGTTGGCGCAATCTCACAGTACCAGCTGCCTCGTTTTGATGGCTCAGAAGAGTAGTCAGTCTCGAATTGAATCGCGGAGCGGGGTCAATCCGACCGATGACTGGATGGGCGGGTAATCGTGATACGTCGCTGTCGTCTGGTGTTGTGCTGCTTCGAGGAGCTCGAGGCCCAGCAAGATGTGCAGAGAAGAGATGGAATGAATGAATGAATGAACGAAAAGAACAAGTATAGACACGAAGATGAAACAGGCCTCCAAAAGGCGGTGGTGGCAAGTCGTGACCGTCAGCCGGCGGGATGAACGGCAGACAGCACAGAAGCAACGTCCAAGCCCAAACGTGGTGGTGAAGGTGAAGCTGGCAACTGGGAGTGCACGCTGGCCAGTGCTCGTCATGCAACGCTGAACGCTGCGCTCGTTGAACATCTAACCATCTGGGCAAAGAAGTGTCTTTGTATTCCCCCCCTGTTTGGCCGTTTGCCCTGTCCTTTTCACCCCTGCACCCGACAAAATGCAAGCGCGGCGCGAAGAAAGCAGCCTCGCACATCCTCGTCCGAGGAAGGCTTCGAAAGAGAGAAGGTCGTTTGACCAGATCCTGACAATCGTTGTTCCCAGAAAGCCGCCCCCAGGCACCACCACTAGGAGCCCAACAGGTCGTGGGCACTAGTTGGAAGCAGTTTGGAGTGACGTAGGCGCTGGGGAGCCACGGTGTACGTGCGATACGAGTGCCTTTGGCACTGGACCTCGCCTAAGAGTACATTGATCTGAGGTTCCTCGACGGCATCCCTTCCCTTTTGCACATTAGTTCGTTTCAGAATGTCGGGGTCCTTCCCACGGCTGGAACCGCCCTCACGGCAACCGGCACCCCATTGGCCCGAGGAGGACAGCTCCTGCCAATCGGCTTCGCTACTCGAGGGCCTCCTGCCACATTTGACCATCCCGCGCCTGGTGCAGTGGCAGGAGTGGGAAAATCACCTCACTTGTGGCTTCCTCGCTAATAGAAAACAGGGAGGTTCAGTCATCAGGGTCAGGGGCCCAGCAGAGGTTCCTCCTTCTCTTTGGGCAATCTCACGATCGTCGTGTTTGACTGCGGAGAAAAAAAAATGACAACCGAGATAATGATTTCCCTTTCGACACTGTCGCCCGCTCCGACCCCCCGATGAGTGGGGTGAAGCAGCTCGAAATGGCAGACTGACAGGGGACGTGGGTTTTCGTGCCGAGCACAGAGGAAAAGACGAGAGTCGCCACCAAGTCACTTCCAGGGTTCTTGAAGAAGGGCCCAGGACCTGTGAACGTTGTAGCGTGTGAGGACACTTCATTTGTGGCCGGGATGATTGATGGCAATCGTTTTGCTTTTGATTCGAGCTTGGGAGATTGCTGATGTAGTAGATAGATAGACGTCCCAAGTCTTGTCTGTTCGCTGCCTTTGCTGTGAACCTAATTACTAAGCATGAGGCGACCTGACTCCAGTACCATCCAACTCCAAAGCAACGGACGAACATCGTCATTAGCAGCCATCAATGCTAACGTCGCATCGATCGCCTTTCATTTCTTCGACGGCATTCGACGGCAATCAATGGGTTCTCCGCACACAACGAAAGGTCCCACTGCCTTAGCAGTACAAGGGTTACGGCCTGTTGCGACTCAAGATCCAACCCAGCCAGAAACACACCTTGAGCTGAAGCGCCCCAGGCGACGCAAGACGTTCACCGGATGTTGGACCTGTCGTGATCGGCACGTCAAGTGCGACGAACAACGCCCCCATTGCAGACGTTGTACGGTTGGAGGGTTCACTTGTCGAGGGTACGGAGTCAGGTTAGCTTGGGTCACCCAACCTGGCAAGGTACCAACCACGGGCAACCGCCGAAGTCGTTCACAGCGTGCATGGGCTCACGTTGATCACCATCAATTCAACCGACTGGACGGCCCTTCCAGCGTGGGCTCGCAAAATCAAGGTGCCTTCTCCGTCTTTCAGGCTACTGGGCCCACCACAAGCCATGACCCGGTCAACACCCAAGCTTTGGCAGGAAAGCAGTTGGCAAATGTAAGGGAGGAGCATGAACTGCCCCGTCGCACAGCGACGTCCGACTGGAGATACGTAAGCCCCCTGGAAGGGGCCAGTGTTGCTTCGTTGGGACGTAGAGCCCAGTCTACAGACGACTTGCATGCGCAAGATGCCTCCGTTCCTGTAACTACGAGCATCATCAAACCACAACGAGGTGGTCACATGCAACCGGATGCTCTCGACAGCCCCAGTCCTTCAGGCTTCTACCTCAACAACATCGAAGCAGACGAAGCGAGCTTCCTGGGTGCTTCCATCGATGATGAAGCCAGCCACGGCGGTGTAAATCCAATCTGGCATGGAAGGCCGGTTTCGTCGCTTCCACGGCCAAGAAGACCATCCAGCGTCTCAACCATTTGGCAAGCCCAAGCTTCTAATAATGCTTCTGACACATGTCTAATGCCTATAAATCATTTGGGCCATCCGTCGAGAGCACTGGACATATTCCCTTCTTCCAGTCACCGGGAGTTGATTAGCCACTGGGTGCTGCATCTTAGTCACAAATGGATGCCGATACGGACCTCGACCAACCCCTACCTCACCGTCCTGTCGCCCATCGCACTTGAGGGAAGCCGCATAGCGAACAGTAATTCCAGCAGCACAGCTGCCCTCTTCCACGCCGTCTGCGCCGCCTCAGCAACACACCAGGCAGTATTAAGAGGTGATGATCTGGAGAACAATGTGTTAGTTCTTCAGCATCGTCGACAAAGCTACTTCCACCTCATGCGCAATATGCATCGTGCCGAGCCCAGCGAACGCTTGGCAAGCTTCGGGACCTTGTGTTTATGGATAATGACGCAATTCATCAGTGGCACGCCCGGCACCTGGCGCGAGGTAGTTAAGGTGACTCGCAGCCTACTCGAAGACACGAGAATCGAGATGTGGACTGAATCGACTTCGGCATCCATCACATATCAATCATATGCTGGTTTCTTGGCTCTGATACAATCCCGATATGTTGGTTACGTTGAAGTCCCCGGTCCTCTGGCGATTGACTATGCAGGTCATGGCTTTCTCCTGGACCAGGGGCTTTCAAGCACTTTACTGAGCTTGGTCTCGTCTTTCAACACGATTCTTTTATCTGGTGGTGCCATGGATGTTGGCGAGCTGGATCAGCTCGAGATGGAGTTTGCTTTGTCCACGCCGCCAGTTTCTGATCACACAACGACAGAAGGCGAGGAGCAGGTCTCACTCCGTCATCATGGCTTCTTGTTTTATCACGCTTGCCTGCTCTACTTCAAGTGCGCATCTGGTCGACGTGGGTCTGAAGCAGATATTGATGCGCTGGTGGCAAAATGCATCCACCTCATCGAGAGGCTTGACGCTACAAACGAAGATCAAAACCCCAGTACTTGGATCTACGCAACGGTAGCCTTCGAAGCCAGGACCATGAATATGCGTGACAGACTAAGGGCGTCCATTGCCCGGCGGGTAGCTTTGGGGTTTGAGACTTGGAACGTGCTTCGGTCGGCTGCGGAAGAGATCTGGAAGTCACGAGATGGGGCGCCCACGAATACAGCGCCTGAACCATGGCCTCACATGCTGGCACGAATGCCTCAGTTTGACTTGCTTTTATTTTAATTTAAAAGACTAAAGTGGAAAAGGGACTATACTATGGCCCTCAGATAATGGTTCCCGGGTGCTTCTCAGCGTCCTCCAGCATCTCCTGCACAGACCGGAACTTGACCCCCTGGAAGTACGCATCACGGTGTGCGGCGACTTTGGCGGGATCCAAAGATCCGGCCTGGCTCACCGAGAAGATCTGGTATTCTGCGATGATAGTTGTGAAATCGTCCTTGCTCGAGACAATGTTCTCGATCAGCTGGTAAAGGCTGCGGTATTCTACCGTCAAGTCGGGATACTTGGACTGCATCAGGGCCGCTACAGTATTCCAGGTCGTCTTCTCTCCAGATATGTTGGTGTGGTGCTCCCACTTCGGAGCCTGCACCAGCATGGTGATTGCCTTGGCGGCGTCTCTTGCACTGGTCACGTCGAGGGGCTCATTACCCGTGCCGGGAATAAGGATTTTGCGGTCCACGAGGTTTATGGGGAATGCGTCGCCAGCATCCTTCAGGTAACGGCTGTGGCTGGGCATGATATAGTCGATGAACCAGCCGACGGCGATGAGAGTCCACTCAAGTTCAGTCTGCTCGCGCAGCGCCTTGCGCACAGGTTCGTGGACACGGTAGTAGAAGCCCGGCTGGTCTGGGAATTTCTCGAGATTTCCGCCGTACTCGGCCGGGATGAAGCGCTTGCAAGCAGGACTCTGTTTGCACGCATCGATGAGACGGAGGTGGACATCGACGAATGTGGCACCATAGTCCAGAATGGCGGAGATGAGGACGGTGCTGTCTTGGATGCCTTTGACGATGGATGCGACCGAGTAGTCCGTGACAAATTGCGTGACGCCGGGACGATTCTCGAAGTGAGGCTTGACGGAGCGTGTCAGGATGGTGACTTGAAAGCCGCCGGCGACCAGTTCTTCGCTGAGATAGCGAGCAAAGTCACCCGAGCCTGCAATAGCGACGCGCATGTTGGTGTTGAAGGGAGGCGAGGGGGGTGTATAGAGACAGGAGATTCAAGGGCAGATGTCGATAACTTGACTGAGAGTCTGAAAAAGTGATATGATGCCACTAGTCCAATGAGTATTCAGTATCACCGGATGGACTCGTGATTTTATACGCAGGATCCAAACTATAGGGCAGCGGTCCTCGCTGCTGGCTGCCGTATTTGGACACGACGATGACTATTGAAGATCACATCATATCATCATCCGCAATATGCACATGTGTTGAAGGCGTAGACTTGTTGCTAGGTAGTTCCGGCAGACGTCAGTTCAGATGTGTCAAGCTTGAGTAGACAACGGCAGCCACGGTGCTTCTGAGACGCGTTGATTGGGTTCACAGCCTTCCCTTCGTGCTGCCACGTCCAGCTGCCACCACCCAAAGCTTCGCCAGGCGCGGACATTTCATGAACTTGCTGACAAAAACCTCCAAACAAGAACGCGCACGAGAACCCATGTAGTCACTGAAGCCGAGCTCACTAATACAGCATGCACGTCAGCCCACCCTGATCGCGCAGCCCCCCACTCAGTCCGTCCCGAAAAGGCAACCCACAACGAGGCACAACCACCCACCCGCCTGAGTCGACATCAAGCAACACAAACCATCGCATCGCTCAGCAAACCTCGCAGAAACTTCCAGAGGAGGAACCTCCCTCCAACGAGAAGTGAGAGGTACTATTGACGAACTTGCGTGCCCCGCCTTTCGCATTCCGCCTTCCTCCCTTATCTCTCTCCCTAGACCTGTCGCGTCGCAATCCAGAGCCGTGGAGATGCGGGGAGATCACGAGAAGAATTCGTCCCCCGCACATGAGGTCACAGCGAGCGTCTGTTCTCAAGGATGCACAATCCATCCCATTCATCTCTCCCTCGATCGCCCCCGTCCCGCTTGCGAGACACGATCCCGTCGTTTGGAACCTTCCCCCTGCCCATCCTGTATTCTGACCAAAAAAAAGGCCGTGCCTCACCGTCAGAGTCGCAGTGGGCGTCCAGGTCGCATGCACGTCATCCCGTCCCGACACGGGCAAGTGAGCACACCCTTTCAAGGCCGTTCGCTAAACAGCCTACTGGGACTGCTGTTGTTTGGATCAATACTCGTCAGAGTGAGCACTGTCCAAGCGTTTGGAATCCAGGAATGAGCATGGTGTCAGGAGCAAGCAGAAGGGCAAGCACAGTAGAAACGAGGTATGGAATTGGATGCAAGGAAATTCATTATTAGACCATTGCTCTTTGCACCATGAGCGCATCGTCAGCAGGGCATCGCTAGTCATAAAGCGCAAGCGGAACCCCAGCTGCCCCAAGCCCTCTGTCGTCTCCTCGGTGCTGTGTTTACATGTGTATATGTATGTCTACGTTATGCTTGCCCGAGTCGCCTCCCCTATTAAAAGCAAACGGCAGAGGCGCTCGATGCTGGACATGACATTCGTCCGTCGCCGTCTCCCGTCTCCGTGTTTGCCGTTGACCTCGCGTGATACAAGCAAACAAAAAATGAACACACACCGTCCACCCCTTTGAAAACCCATCCATCGAAGGTAAGAATGAACTTGTATCGCCCCCAGCGGGCCCGCAAACGAAAGTCGGGTATAAGCGCGGAAGCAAGAAAAAAGAAGTATAAAATGGCCAAACCAGAACGCCTTTTCTCATGGACACCCCTCCTTGTCCTCCTCAAACCAGGGGATATCGAGTAACCTCATCACGTCTGCCATCTGCCATCCGTACATCCAAGCGGGTCATCTTCCCACTCTCACGCCTCCACAAGCACCTTTGGCGCATCCTCCAACGTCGGGCTCTGCCGAAGTGGCTCCAACCCAGTCGCTGGCTCGGGTAGGGGCTCGAGTCTGCGTTCATTGACGACTCGTACGCTGCCCCGATTGCCACGCACGATCTGGCCGTTTTCGACGCGTTCGTGGATCATCTCGTCAAGCATCTTGCTCATCTCATCCACACTCTTTCGTCGATTGCGGCCATCTGGGAATAGGGGTGCCGCAGCGGCGGGAGGACTTGTAGGGGGCGGCCCGATGCTGTCGAAGATTGATGAGGTTCGGTTATCCGAGGTGCCCTCAGCAGTGTCCCGAGACCGGGCCGCACTTCGCAGTGCAGCGAGCATGCGGTCCTTGTCATCTAACCTGGCCCGGAGGTCGGCAATCTCCGTGTCCTTGTCCTTCAACAGCGTCGAGACACTGTGGTCTTCGCCCACCATGATGCCCTTGTTCGGCGCGGAGAATCCAATAGACGTCCGAGACGAGCTGGCCCGCCGCGCTTGCATCAATCGCTTCTCTAGCGTTTGAATGTATCGCGTCTTGTCTGCCAGGTCGGCTTGCAAAGCACGGTTTTGGGCTGTCAGCGAGGCGGTGCCGTCTCCGTACTCGCCCGTACTGTCCTCGTCTTCAGGTGCCGTTTCACCGCCAGAAAACCGCTTAGCGCCGCCACTTGATCGGCGCCCTATGGTGGACGTCGCAGAGGTCATGGAGGATGTCCTTTCGACCAGAGGCCGTCCGCTGCTCGGGGTCGCCATTGATGACCTGGAAGAAAGCATGGAGGACCGGACGCCGAGAGAGCTAAAGGTGCCGCTATTGACGCCGGTCGATTTGGAGCTCAGGATGAGGCGGTTGAGGTGATCGATGCGCTCCTTGAGTGCGGTTCGTGCCAAGTGCATCTCGAGCATCTGCTCTTCGTGACGATGTTCAGCCTCCAGCTCTCGGACCTTCTCCTCTTCCACATCACGCGTCTTCTCCTCTTCGGCGTTTTGCTGCTTCTTCGCTTTTGCCTGGGTATCAAGTTGCAGTCGCAAGTCGGCAATCTCCACGCGATATCGCTCCAACAACACTCTGGCACCTCCATCACCACCACTGCCCAGTGCTTCCTCGGCCTTCTTGGCGTGACTGACGATGTTGTTCTTTGCTCGAGAGGCAAATTTCAGCGTATTGATCGTCTCCGCGGTGTGGCTGTTTGACGTTGCTGCGGTGCCTGCAGAGCCAATCTGAATGGTGCAAAGGATGCTGACAAGAGAATTACCGGACAAAGCTCCTTGCAGAAGCCGGGTCAACTTGCTGTCACGATAAGGGAGATGCTTTCCGTCCTTGTCGGCGGATTTTCCCTCCTTGTCTTTGCTGTCGGAGAGCTTTGAGATGACAGTTCCAAGAGTCAGCAGACTCTTGTTGATGTGGGAGCCCTCGGTTCGTCTCTCCTTCGACTCGGCGGCCTTTTCTGAACCGGCCAAATCAATTAGGCTTAGGGTCGATACCCTCACACCGCCAGGAAGCATGCCAGAGCGTTTGCTCTCGCCCCCCGTGTTGCCCGGGATGCGCTCACGACTCTCTACCACGATCTGGACGACGGCGTGACTGCGAGAGCTTCGGGCGTTGAACTGCGTGCTCGCCGTCCTACGCGCCTGGTCTCCACGAGCGATCACCCGCAGCAGCTGAGTGGGACTTTGGACGATTTCCTCCTTCAAGGGACTGGCATAGACGCCGCGCTTGGCGTCTTCCCTGAGTTTGATCTCCTCTTGCCCAGCATTGACGCCTACTCCGGCGGTCGACATGCTCAACAAATCGTGGATCCGCTCGTTGTAAATCTCGAGGTAACTGACTCTCAGAAGAAACTCGCGCGAGGGCGTCTCCCGGATGTACGAAAAGATATCCGTAATTGCCAACGGTATAACACCAGGAGATGATGCCGTGCCTTGCATGGAGAAAGTTTTACCAGTACCAGTCATACCGTAGGCGAAGACAGTTCCGTGATAGCCCTCCATGACCCGGCGTACCAAGCGCTTGGCAATGTGGTCATATACCCGACCATTGTCGTCGTGTGTCGAGAAAACATTGTCTGATACCCAGTTAGCATCGAGCGCGCGAGAGTGAAAGCTTCGAAACCCGCTTACCGTAGTAGTGGTCTCCTCCGTCTTTGCCGCGATATGCGACAAGCGACTTGCGGCCATCGACCATCCATTCGCCTTCTGACTTGTTGTTGTCGCTTCCATTGGCGTCGGGACGCACACGGACGCTGACAAGCACGTTGCCCTTGCCTTCAAGTTTGGATGATCTTTTGTCGCTTGCATCGGCACCTTTGGACGCTGCTCCGTCGACAGGATCGTCATAGGTGGTTGCTGAGGTGGAATATGAATCTTGCGCCGAGGAACTCCTACTCTGAGGTGGAGACGAGATGCTGATGAGTCCATCCGACATGCGCACGCTGGCACTAGATATTGACTTGCCCTCGCCACTGTTGTTGAGGAGGCTCGGGGTACCGTTGCTGAGATGGGAGTATGAGGGTGCGAGTGAAGCTCGCGATTTTCGGACAGAGTTTCTTGGGGAATCGGCTCCGAGAGGACTCGGTGGCAAGCTGCTCACCCGCCCTTCACTTCGTGGTGGTTGTGGGAACGAGTTGATGCTCACAGTCTTTCGAAGTGTCCGGGCTGGCGTGCCCAGAGCAGATGACGACCTTGGCTGTGGCAGTGCGGATGTCGGGGCGGGGGAGGTCGGTGGTGCGAAGCTCGTAGATGGTGCCCTGAGCCCGCTCTTGGGATTCGGAGTGTTGGGAATGGACCTGCTTGCAGGTGTTGGAATGTTGCCTGTGCTCTTGCGAGTTTTGGCGATAGGTAGGGCGGGGAGGGCCATTGTGGGCGGCCCGTTGGAAGGACGAGATGGCCTTGGTAGCGTTGTTGCCATTGTAGTGGTTGGGCCGTGCCGGGGTCGGATTGGACTTCAGGTATTCCCAGTGCTCAGACCTGACCGCAGGGTGCAATGAGGCTGTTCGTGACAATCGTTACCAGACGAGGTTCGAGTGGAGGGCCATGAAGAGTCGCAGAGGAACAGATCGAAGAGCGCCCCAGCTGCCCGCTCAAGTGGCAGAGGCGGGTGGGCGAGTCTCACGGGCGGGGGGCCTGGTGATATGATGTCTTTCAAATGTCTGATTGTGGATCAGATGGTAGGCGGGGAGGGAGGTGGTGGCAGAGATCCAGACTGCCAGGCCAGCTGCGGTGAGGTAGGACTGACTCGCCTCTTGCGATGCAAGACAGCAAGCAATCGCCTTTGGTGACGTGTTGGAGGCGCCCGAATGCTCTCGTGATTCGAGGCAACGGTCGGCAGGAGCAGTCTTGGCTATGCGTAGAGAGCAGAGGGCGGAAGAGAGAATGGGTGTGTGAGGTCCCGACAAGACGCTTTCTTCTGCTGAGCGGACGTCGGGGGTTAAAGGTGGGCGACGTTGCTGAGTGGGTTTCGGCAAAAGGAAGAGGTACGGCGAGGTGGTTGGAGCTCGGGGATGGGGCGGACGAATGAATGGCTTTGTCGAGACAGGGACTGGCTGCAGACGGGGCAAATCGAGGACGGTGGGCGGTGTCAAGGTGAGATGAGGTCGCAAATGTTCTTTCTGTCAAGAAGAACGGGAGTAGAAGCGTGCCGACGTCAATGGCGAGGCCAGAGGTACACGGGGTTGCGGCTGCTCTTGTCTTGTGCCTCCTGCTTTCGTCTGGACCGAATAGAGGAAGGCGCCAGGCGGTAGCGCAAATCGTAAGGAAGGAGATCCCGTCGTGCGTCGTGGTAACAAGAGTGGTGCCTGCCCAAAAGGCGGGAGTTCGTGCACACTAGACGTTGCGGCTTGGGTGTGCTTTCCTGTCGTTTTCGTCCGATCCTTGGGCTCTGGGCTCGAGCGGGACAGAGCTGGCTGGGCCTGACTTCCGATGTTGAGGAATCGGCAGGCGAGACGGGTCGAGTTGGTTCGATTGAGGTCGATTCGGGATTTGCGCTTTCCCCCCCTTCACGCAAGTAGTGCACTGATCGCCTGAGAGGACAGTCGACGGACGACGGCGAGACCTTGTCGATTAATTTGCGTTCGACTGGTTGTTTGGAATAAAGGAAATGGTTCGTTGAGGACGAAGACGATACTCGATAGTTTGTTGACTGGTTGATGGCTGGTTCGTAGGCACACAGCGAAAGGAACGGATGGTTGTGGCAAACAACGACTCGACGACAAGACGATGCGTTGACGGCAACGGCGACGATGTAGGCAAGGCGAGTGAGGAGGGAGGAGGGAGGAATCACATCTCTCGATCATACACATCTATCGATCAACCAGGTCTCGCCCTACCCTTCCCTTCTCTCCCCCTTGACCTTGGGGCCCCTGGTGTCCTGGTGTCCTTGGAGTCCCTGGTGTCCCTGCCAACTGCTCGGCCACTCACTCGTATGCTTGTCTTGTCCCGACCCATCAACCAAAGACCCTCGACATTCGCATCCTTCCGTCCATCCAACCCCTGACGACTTCTCTGGCCCCCTAGCCTTTCCCCGGCCCAAGACGCGTCCGCTTCACGACTCACGACGAAGGACAACCCCGGCATGGCATCCTGGAAATCTCTGCCCACCCCTCGATGGCCCAAACAGTGTTTAGCTTTCACCACCCCAATTTGATGACCCAAGTCTCCAGGTAATCGCCCCTGGCTATCTTGCTACATGGACAGGGTTCGCGCGCAGGTGTGGCAGCCTAGTAGCATCTTCTTCGGGACAAGTGCCACAGCTGAGGGCACGATCCAACCCCAAAAGTACCGGCTCTTCCCCCCTTTACCGTCCTGCCGTCCAGACCATCGTCTGCGTTTAATGAGATGCACAAGTCTCTCCACGCACAAAGCGCGCTACAAACCCAAAAGGTAACAGAGAGCTCCAAACACGGTTCAAGATCGCCATGCAGGCTTGCATAACCCGGCGAGGTAGTGCACCAGCGCGCGCCGCGGGAGTAAACTCCGAGGCTCTAATGCTGGCTGGCACAGAGAGAGCCCTGGCTCTCGCCCGCTGACACACAGTCTCTTCCCCTGCTCTTCTGCTGCTTGAATCAGACACGTGTGGCACGCATTGCCTGCCCAACACCTGAGTCGAAGAAGAACATGTTTTCAAGGCTGCCACACAAGCTGTCAAACGTTGAAGAACGAGGAGCTGATCTGCCTTGGTCCCTCCTTCGCTTTAACAGAGTGGCGCCACAAGAATGGCATGCAAGACGCACACGAGATCAGTCCAATGCAGGCGCATGCAAGGTGCGATGCAACCCTGGTGTCGGCAGGTGTCATCCCAGAACTACCCGACATTGCTAGTGGGTGTTGATCACTGGAGTATGCACAGTTCCTCTTCCTTCGTCTACTGTCATCCTGTCAAGTCGGATCCTCGTCTCCTTCGGCCACACAGACAGTCGCCAGATTCACGAGTAACGGGCCTTCAAAGGATGACCAGCCGGCCCATTTGAAAGCCCGCGCCCACGCCCACGCGTGCGTCCGAAATCCAAACTATTGGACAACATGGCCTCGATCATTGACGAAGTGTGCGATGTGCCCAGTACGCTCGCCGAATCGAAGTGGGTTCCTGGCTATCGGCATCCGGGTGCTGAGAACCGCAATCTCCCTCCGCCCATCACATCACCGCCACCTCCAGCCAACGGCGTGCCCCGTGCGCCTATCGACCAGGGCTTGATGTGATAAGTTTCTTGGCCTAGGGCGCAACTCGACTGTGACAGTTGCATGAGACGACTAACGAGGATGCCGACTGCTGTACCCATGAGCTCTCGCAAGATAATGACAAGCACATGGCCTGCAGAACTACAAACCCGAATGTGACACTGGCGCGTCTCATGCGGCCGCGTTTCTGTATTGACAGGCCGCCGGCTTCGTCAGTCACCCTGTTCCTAAACCGCTTTCCTCACGAGAACAGTGGATCGAAAGGGGGTCGCCACGACTTCAGCTACAGACCTGGTCGCTGTTGGCCTTCCGCCGCCGGGTGGACCACTTCGTGGTCGGTGGCACGATCCACGGCCCTAGATCGAACGTGGACAGATCGCAAGTGCCGAGGTCGGCTCGAGGATCTGGATTGCAGTGAGGGGTCACTTCTTCTTACAGTTGAGGGCTGTGCACCGATTGACGAGCAAGAGCAACAACATCTCCATTAATTGAATCAGATGAACAGACAAGAAAAAAAGTCCCACGGGCTTGGCTATGGACTGTTCTCAGGCCGAAAGCGGATTCACAAAAGCACTGGCTTGAGATTTATTCCTTTGTTCGCCATCTCACTACTAAATAGGTCGGCACCCAGCCCCGGCCTGGCCCCTAACCAACGATGCCGTTCGCGGATGAAGCTACCACACCACGCGTCTATTGCTCGGGGCGCGCGGCGGAAGACGGCGAAGGCGAAGACACGGTTGTCCACGCCAACCTCAGTGTGGTCTCCCGAGACATTTGAAGCTACTGACTGCGATGCTTTGCCCTTTGCCCTAACAGGGGCCCGGCAAGAGGCTATACGTGGCTCAATGTCAATTCGTTCTTCAATTCAACAGCTCCAGCAAGCATGCGTACAGGTTGTCTTTAGCAATCCGGCGAAGAATCACCGAGGTGGATGCTTGAGATTGAGGGGTTCTCTTCTCGCAACTATTAGGGAATCGACAATAACTGTGGACTTGCACGACACAGGCCTCGCCCAGCAGCTCTGGGCTCCCATGACAGGTCAAATGCGACGTCATCTACTGTAAAAGTTAGATCAGTCAGACCTCTTGGAAATATTAAACATCTGTATATACAGATACATACCCCGGAATTTCGGTCGCACGACTTCGGGCGTGCCAAGTCGTATGAGCTTGCGATTGTGCGGACTGGTGTCCACGCAACCTCGGAATTGTGCAGCTCCGGGCAGGTCTTGACTGCAGGTGCTGTATGCCGTGTCTGAAGCCATATTATGACATTCTCCCACCCGAAAGCTACGTGGCACACGCGGCTTGAAGTGATTATGTGCGTCACCACGAGTGTCGTCAAAAGAGCCACCGAGTCGGGGCAACACGGCAGACAGGAGTCACAGCTTGAAGCTTTCACTTAGACTTTGGTACGACTCATCCACCCGGCAAGGTGGTATCGACTATTCAGCCCTGTCAAATCGCAGCGGACCGGATGCACGGGCAAGGGGCAAACTAGACGAAAAAAATCGGAATTTATTCAATGCAAGTCAAGCTTGCAACTTCTGGGGTATAATCTATGGACATCAGATATGTTCTTCAAAGCAGGCGTCACCTTGTCTAGTCATCACGCAATTTGCGCACTCCGCGTCCGACACTTCCGGTCTCGAAGACCTCGAGACGTCCCGTGCCCATGGCCTCGGCAAGAACCCAACCGAATTCGAGGCCGTAGAACTCGCGCCACTTCTTCGTCTGCCACGGCAGCACGCCAGTGAACTCACCACGGGCGCGCCTCATCTTGCGGGCATCGTCGCTCGCGATACCGCCGTCCCAACGCTCTCGCAACAGGTATTCTGGCATTTCGCCATACTTGGACCGACTAAGAAGTGACATGAGATGCTCTACCGCCGCGGAGACCAGCTTGAGATAGCTACCGTGACCTGGCGCGGCAATGCGATACTCGGGCTCTGGGCCGACGCCTCCCCGGCCGAGTCGCGATGCTCCGCTGCTGCCGCCTGCATTCTGTAGCGCCCCGACGCCGCCGACTGCCTCGATGCTGCCGCTGGCAGCGCGTGACGCGGCGGCGATGCTCGCGAGAGACGTCTTGTCTTCTGGTCGACCATAGAAACCTCCAAGAGAAGCGTTTTCATCTCTTGTTGTCGTGCCTCCTGTGAGGAAGCCGGCTCTGACCAACGCATCTCCTTGCTTCTCATCGCACGTGCCTAAACTCATGATGCCTGCGCGAGGGTATTCTCTGAGGAATCTGAGATACAGCCCCTTCGTGTCCTCATCCAGCTTGGAGCAGCGGCTGACCAGCCCCTCGTACTCATCTTGCCGAATCAGAACCTCGCCCCTCCCACGAACCCTCAACCGTCTCAAGACGCCGCGGCCCTCGAGCGTAGCGACCTCACGTTCCACGGACGTCGGACTGCCACCGAGAACAGCATGAACGTGACCGGCACTGACGAAGCCAGGCAGGCCAGCGTGGAAGTTGACCGTCTTGGCCATGCGCTTGCTGCCCATGCCGGGGACAGGGTCGAACATGGTGCTTCGGGCGCGAGCCATCGCCTGCGGCACGTCTCGAAGTGTAAGGTCTGTGGCGAGGGCTAGGACGAGCCCCTGGTCATCGAGGTGGTCTTGAAAATAATCCTCTTCACAATCGGCTGGTGGAGGCTTCTTGGCCTGCGGGCTTCGGGCTGACGTTTTCTTGGAGGAAGGCAGAGAGGATGACGAGGAAGATGGCGAGGGTTTGGTGATTCGCCCGCCTGCAAGGCGGGTCTGGCGGTTGGCAGTCATACAGAGATGGTGCGAATGAACTCCGTGGTGGGTACTTCAAGTTGTTGAGTGAAAGATGCCTGGCCAGCTGCCCAGTCTCACTCAGCAAGGTAGTCTGAACCTTGGGCGAAGAGGTTTTTCGCTGATAGAGCCTCTTCGGCAATGTTTGCACGGCAGCTTGATACGCGATTCAGGCAGCGAGTACAGAGGATAGGGCCAAAAGGCGACTCGTGTTCTTGACGAAACCCGATATTGATTTGATGGAAACAGTGGCAAGTGCAAAATCAGTCATCCGGCGAGGCAGTCGCAGTGAGGCAAGGTACCTACAAGATGTACAAGGAGACGCCTCGAGAAAGGGCGACCAATGGGTGAAACAGTGGATCAACGGCCTGGGGTGCTACTGCCATTTCCATATCAAGGTGGTCGCCACACCCCCACCTTTCCGGCGGTCTGGGGCCGCTGCTCCCTGGCTCCTTCCCTTTCCCGCCTACAGCTCAAGCTCACCTCGAACGAACCCCGTGTGCGTGTGTGCGGGTAACCTGACAACATCTGATCGCCCTCCCGCCTTACCTTACTCCATTTGAGGACACCATATCAACTGCACCTCCATCATCATCTCCCTTTTCTATCGCCTCTCATCAAAGGTTCGCTTGGCAGTCCTGCCACCCTACCCACCAAGTATCACATACTTCCGATTATGAATACCTGAAAGCACGTCGGCCTCGCTTCATTGCGATGCTGACGACCTGCTAGTACATTAGCGCTCATTGCCTTATAACTCTTTGCATACCATCAGCCGAGGCTACGCGCCATACCTTGCTGTCATCCCACTCACCTTCTTCAACATTTCATCGCCAGACTCATCGACATTTTATGATGACTTGCTCTTCCACCCTGACGCAGGATCGGAACGGGGCCGAGAAGGTGGACCACCCGGACCTGCTTGCCGCCATCCCTGACAGCGTTCTTCTCCGCCTCTTCGAAGCTGTCGCTCAACAGTCGAAGCGCGATCTCTGTACCGTCTCGCGACTCAACAAGCGGTATCACGCCCTCGCTGATGCTGTGCTGTACAAAACGGTTCTTTTTCTCAATCCCGAGCTGCACCTGCTCTTCAGCGAGTCCCTCAGCCGTCGCCCACGCCGTGGCTCCGCCATACAGCACGTCAAGCTAGCCTACCCCTCACACGAGCTCACAGCTCTGACGATCGACGCTCATGCCCCTGTTCACGGTTACCGTCCCCAAGATGCTGCTCTTCGCTTTGACAGCCTGCCTCGCGCCATTGCCGCCATGTCCAATCTCGAGACGCTCGACATCTCCGTTCCCGTGACCCTCCTCCACGGCATCGGCCAGCTGTTCAATGGCCCCTTTGACCTGGCTTGCCTCAAGTCTGCCTCTCTCTTCTATCAGTGCCCCGAGGATGGCTACTGGGACCTCCGCGAGAACATCCACATCTTTGCCCACCCTACGCTCGAGTCACTGACCCTCCGCCGCGCGCGTCTCGATTACCGCGGCTTCGACCTCATGGAACAGCCCCACGCCACGGCCCTCAAGAAGCTGCACCTTGTCGAGTGCGACATTAACGATGACGCCCTGTCTGACCTTCTTGTCTTTCCCGAGGCCCTACAAGAGTTTGTCATGACGCAGCTCGAGGACCCTCAGCCCGAACTTGAGGAGAGCTCCGACATGTTTCGCGACTACATGGTCGCCATTGATTCAGCCGCCGCCTCCCTGGAGACCGTCACCATTGATTTTCCCTCCCTGGCCGGCCACAAGCCGCTCGCCTTGCGCGAATTTGAGAAGCTGACCACGCTGCGTATGAATTGGGACTACCAGCTCTTCGGCAAGACCTCCAGGAAGCCTAGGCTGCAGTCTGTCGGCCTGCCACCCTCGCTCGAGACGCTCGAATTCTTTGGCGAGCTGGGCCGCGACGAGGAAGTCACCGAGCTGCTTGCGCACATGATTGAGCATCTTGACCTCCACGCCGCCAAGCTCAAGAGGATCGTCGTTGGGGAGGGTTCAGTGCCTCCCGAGGTGAAGGCGGCCTGTCTCAAGCACCCGCGGCTGAGGCTGGACGTGATTGGAGAGTTTGACGTGAGCGATGACGAGGGCGAGGAGCAGTCCGAGAAGGAGGAGCAGGGGCCTGAGAAGAGCCGGGAAAGCTTCGACGATGACGAAAAGCCGGACGGGAAGCCAGAGGCGTCACATGAAGAGTGGCCAAAGCTGGAGCACGACGGGATATTCAAGGACAATTTGCACAGCGCGACCCACCAGGTGGTAGACATGGAGGTAGACAACAGGACGGACACTAGAGTCTAGATTCAAGAGCCAAGAGTCAAGAGTCATAGAGGAGTTAGACTGGTGG